ATTGAAAAATTAAATTGAAATCCAGTATAACAGCCCTCCCTGATACCATCACATACATCTATGATTTGCCCAGGCGTAATGTATACCTTCCTATCATTCTCTTCCTCGCAGAAAAACCCAACCGTCATGTTGTGGCATCTTGCTTCATCATCACATAATTTACAGTCACATTTTTTATCACACAGCAACTGTTTCTCTATGCTCTTCCTGTCAGGGATGGCGCATTTATAATCATACGTTTTTCCGCAGCCGTAGTGATCAACTTTTACTCCCTCGATCTCATTCTCGCAGTTACTGGTTTCTTTGCATCGTGTCAAATCCCATTTGTTTTTATTCTTGATTGTGCCCACTTTATGTTGGTTGGTATTTGAGACTAAATCGTTTAACCAATAAGGATTTCCTTGAAAGAAGGACGTCTTCTTCATGGGTACCGACACACAGATTGGTTTTCCACACACTGCCACTTTTGAACCGTAGATAGGCTCCAGATCAGTAGCTGACTTTTTATAGGTATCTTTCTTATGCGATCCGCAACTGTCGTGTCCGCAGGCTTGGTAGAAAGTTGTGTCATTAGGACAAACTCTGGAGAAAGTAGTCTCCTCACACGTCTCAAGAAAGATCCTGTAAAATCTATTAGATTTTGTGCACTTGTAGTACCATTTGTTGTTGATCAAACATTTCTCCTTGAGGAAGCGTCGGAGCAGGACACGGGTGCAGTTGCTCACTGTCATTTTGTGTATTTCTGAAGGACCGAAGGTTTCAATATTACCTTGTTTTTGTGTCGCTAAAGTGTTGGTTTCAAGTTCCCTGGCTCCGATTCCTGCAGTTACTAGTGCTATTAGCAGTAAACTGGTTGTTTTCATGGTTTCTTTTCTGCGGCTGTGATTCGGGAATTTATAAACGTTACTACCTGATCAGAAGGGTTTATGATCTTATATTTGATAAATTTTATGCAAATAATCAAGATTATTGTTGGGGAATCAAGTAAGGGAAGATCGAGGGAAGGTATCACTCGATCTAGGATCCGTCTTAAAGTGTGGCAAAGCTGATATTTAGCGTATCATAAACCTGGGATATGTTGCCTTCAACAGCTACAAGATCTAGAAGGCCTCATGGAATGAAAAAGTTAAAACGCTTCTTTACAAAGGCCTAATACTGTACAATGTTTTAGTCGTCCCTTTACGATATAGGGGGATTACAGGCTTTGGAAAACAGCCAAGCAGATAAGGTACTTCAGTAAATATGCCAAACTCTATAATAAAATACTGAGATACGGGAAAAGTTAAAAGGTCCAGTAAAGACCACTGAGTTATGGGACAAATTACAAATTAAATCTTGTAGAATTCTGCAATGACCACTGAGTTATGGGGAAGTTAAATACAAATTAGCTACTTTGTATTTTGCTTGCCGCAGCTCCCTGACAGGCTGAGCGCCGCCCGCTTTATACCCAAACACTCTAACGCGTAGACCTTTACCCTCAGATTTAAGTCCTTTGTCTTCAATAAAAATGTAACGTGCGATGCTAAAATTTGACGCGTGAGATTCGTTAGTATAAAAATAGCTACAAAATCCCTTTGTTCTCGATAAATATTATATATTTTTAAAATTCTGAATTGTGAGTGTGAGAACGTGACAATACTTTTTTCCTTTGTTGTTTTTTTATTTTATTTTTCCTTTGTTTTTTTGAGACCACTCAAACTCAAAGTTGCAGCTATAGAACAGACGCTTCTTTGTATAATAAATATAATAAATTGCGCTCATGCGCTGACTTAAATCTTTTATTTTTAAATACAGAGCATCCTTAATATTATGAAGCGTACACCAATTATTTGAGAGGGTCAGCAGTTTTTATTTATAAAATCAAATTCGAATTACATGAATATTAATTATCATTAAGATTAGGACGATGATTAATAATAATCACTGTACACTTGACTGTCACGTTACTTTTTAACACGTTCTCTAGGCCGGTGGCCCTGAATTACTACATACTATTCGAAACCCCTAACCCTTTAATCTGATCCCAACCCCGCCCCAAACCTAACCCAATCCCTATGTCCTAACTGGACTTGAAGCATATGCTGAAACTCCAACCCTGGCCTGGCCCTAACCGTTAGGTCCAAATCGTTAGGGCCAAACATTAGAGACTAGAGTTGAGCTACTTCTTAACTTCTATCCATTGTTATGATAATATTAAAAATATAGTAATTTTCACGAGATGACTATAATTATAAAGTCTAGTTATTATTATTAGAGATGAGCTACTTCTATTTATTATTTTGACAGTATTAAAACTAAAATGATTGTCACGATCAGATGACTATAAAGTTTAGTTATTAGAGCTAGAGTTAAGCTATTTTTTAAATTCTATTATTATTCGTTGTTATGACAATAATATAACTCAGAATGTTAACAAGTTTTTAAAAAGACTGTAGAAGAAGATATCATGCCTCATTCGTTGGAGTTCTCAGACCCGTCGACTCTCTATCTGCTGCACGATTTCTAAAAAGAGGGTTGATCGCGACTTCCTCAAAATGGGAAACAGGAGAAAAAGCTACATTACAGACCATCAAGGCAGAATTAAAAGAATCACTTACCTAATAGTAATACTTTAATTTAACAGTCACAGAGTTTTATAAAACTTTGTAGTTTGTCAGAATTTTGATCGTTCTTTAAAGTTTTGTTTTGTTAACATCATATTTTGTATTCCTCGACTCAAAAAAAGCATAAATATAATTATGTAACAAACGAATCTTTTATCATTAAAGCTAAAGTATTTTATGCTTTTCTGCCGGTTTACTATACGACTGAAGTGCACAATTGTTTGTAGGTTTACAACCTACCAGCACCAGGACGCGCGCCGAGTTGGACTCGTCGACGGTCCTGTATGGAACAAATATTTTACGAGTATCACCCGTTAACACAATTGTATGAAAAATAAATTGTATGAAAAATAAATTTATCCTCAATAATATGGGATCCCAGGAGGTGTTTTAACAAAAACCCACCTCAGGGAACGGCATTGACAATTGATCACCATTGTTAAGGCCAGAGGGGGCGGGCGGGGGGGGCCGGGGGGGAATGGCACTTTTGTAGTTTTTGCATGTTTGATAATAGCTACTAGAGACGAACAAAAAGAAAAAAACCGGATCAAAATCTGACCTTGCGCTTCTGAGATATCGCGCGCTCAATTTTGAGGTTTACCTGTAATTTCATGTTAAACTGGAACTTTAAACGGCTGTAACTTTTTTGTAGGTTTAGATTTATTACAACCTACCAGGACGCGCGCCGAGTTGGACTCGTCGACGGTCCAATATATGGAACAGATATTTTACGAGTATCACCCGTTAATGACCTTTCGATTCCTTTATAATTGAGAAAACCGGCCAATCCCTGATCTTGAGGTTTGGTACAGTGGTTCCTTGGACAATTATCCCCACATCTGGTGCAGCGATTTTTTATTTGACTCTGTTCTCAAATAATGAGGTTAACCAGGTCAAAAATTCGAAAAATTTAATTGGTTAACCTCATAATTCGAGAACTTAGTCAAATAAATAAAATCGCTGCACCAAATATTTAGATACCCAACGCGAGCTGATTACTCAGAATGCGCGAGCACGTCAACATAAAATTTTTCGCGCCCTACAAACTTCGGTAGACCTTATAATTTGCAACTGAACGCTTGCGTATGTCGTAGTTCAAGCTGCGCGCGCGGTATGAGTATTTTCATTGCATCATACAACATAAATTATCGGATTATAAGTAGAAGCTATTTGTACAGGGATTTTCTCATCGATACTTTAAATGACTAATCTTTAAAAAACAAGGTCGATTCTTATACAATTACAATATATTTTGCATATGCGCGTTAAATCAATTCGTTATCATGTAATAATGTGTGTCATACTTAAAGCTAGGAATATTTGTGTATGGATTTTCATTCTAAAACATGGAAAGATTTCATCAATTAATGTAACTTGGTACCATATGGTTTATTTGATCTTATATGTTATCGATCGCGATTTATATAGTTTTACGTTATCGTGTATCATGTATTGATAGTTATACATTATTATTATACAACGAGTCCAACCCAGCGCGCGTTTTGGTAGTTTATAAACCTACAAATAATTTTATCCCCTGATAAACTCCAAGATATTATGCATCAACGGATTATAATCTCATTGTATAGTCACATAACATGATACCATGACCTAAATTTTGACAAATGGCTAAGCTCTTGACAAAAATTATAACCTGTAAAAGTCATAAAAATGATAACTTCACATAATCGGGTGGAAATCATGCTTTTTAAAATTTTTCACGAAAGTTTTTAACAGCATATTGTTTATCACATTTTTTTACACAAGATTTGAATCATGTTGTAATTTTGTTTTCCAATATTTTGATCAAAAATAATTTTTATTTGGATTTCAAAGTACGCACTACGCCGCGCAGTTAGAAATCGTAATTATATTAGGAGATTTGAGATTTAATCATTATTTTCACAAGTGAGTCGATATATTGCAATCCCATTTCTTTTCGTTGCTGCTCACAGCATAGAGCTTCAATGCTCAAACCGTATATCTAGTTGATAGTAAAGTACCTAGTATAGAAGTAGTAAAGTAGTATAGAAGCTGTTTCGTTGCACATTGGAATACAGATATTACTAAATGATCTTGAGAGGTTATATAATGTAATCGATTTAGTGTTACTGCCTTTAAGCTGTGATGTGCTACTAAAACTTGTTCTAGTATAGAAAAGCACAGCGGATTTTGCTATCATGTTACACTTTTGTAGATCAGGATCGAATTTGAACGTATTACTCCTAAACAGATTATTTCAATCCTGCATCATATGGAAATATCGATAACCCATTCGAGCCTTTTTTTAAATGTGTTTATGTTTTTGGAAAAGTATATTATTGTGATACTTCCATGTATTAAATCGTTTAAATGGTATGGTAAAGAACAGTACACAGATACTTATTCTTTGATGCCCCGAAACACATTCCTAGCTCTAGATCTGCCTTACATTTCAATAATGGCTCTTTCATCACATTTGCTTGATAACTGCTGATTTGTAATGCTTAAAATTGATCCCACTCAGTTTGACTATCTTAGGTTAGCTGTAATATCGAACTCGACAGTAGCTTCCTCTGTCATGTCGGAGATCTCAGGAGACGACTGGGTATTTTGTGTCAAGAAGAGGTTAATCTCCCACTTAACAAGATAAACATCAAATTCATAGGTTTGTCTCTATTTTGATGGTTACTGATACAGCAGTTCATGTGTTTAAAATGTATGGGTTAAATTCTAATTAAATTCGGTAATAAATATTACTGCAAATGTTGTAAACGGTAAAACCATTGTGTATAAGACAGTCAATTATCTCAGGAGTGCCAAACAGGGACCGTTTAATCGAGAGGACTTCTCTGATGACAGAGATGTGGAAAAGACTACGTCCTTCTCTGGAAAACTACAAGGATAAAATACCCACCTTCTTCGGGAAAAAGTCCATCATATGCGAAAGGTAAATCGTTTATTTTTGAAAACCCGATCACGATCAAAGCATATACAATTTAGGCATGTCCCAGCTAACTTAAGCCGAAAATCTGGCTTTGAAATCTTTAATTTGAAAACACTCAAAAATGTAGTTAATATACCCCTCCACCATACCAGATCGATTTTAAGTCAGCCAAGGCATAATTACTGCCCAAAAAGCCTGTTCCAAATTTGTCTCAATTCTGTTCCAGAATCCCAACTTCTCTGAAACCAAAATGGAACATTGCCCACAAAGCCTTTTCTGAGGATGCTAGGGCCACCAAACTTTTCAAGGACACTCCTGGTATCGATACCAATCGATTCTGATCGCCTTCAACTCAGTTTAGGCGATTTTAGGGTAAAGTTCATTTTTGTTCATTTCATGAACCAGGGGATCATTTTGCACTAAAAAGGTTTTTTTAAAGTTGAACAAAAAATGTCACAATTTGATGTGTGAAAATAGTGCTTTCGATGTGAAACTGGATGATTCTTGACGCACCCTATCCCTTCGGTGGAGTATTACATTTCAAAGAAAAAAACTTCTGAGTTGCTGAACATGTTAGTAAACAATATGCCCCTCTACCATACCATATCGATTCCATGCCAGTCCAGGCATAATTACCGCTAAAAAGCATGTTTCTAAATTTGTGTCAAATGTTTCCACCATCTCAACTACTCTGAAACCAAAATAGAAACATTGCCCCAGAGCCCTTTCTGAACATGCTAGGCACACCAAACTTCTCAGGGACACTCCTGGTATCAATACCGACCGATTCCAATTGGTTTTAGCCCAATTCAGGGGATTCTAGGAAAATGTTCATTTTGTGTTCATTTCGTTCATTCCAAGAACCAGGGGAGTATTTTACACTTCTAAGTGGCTGGAAATGTTAGTACATGTGTCCTTCTACCATACCAGATAGATTCCAAGTGGACACGTTCAAAAAAAGGTGGCACTAGAGATTGATTTTTTTAAATGAGTTTTAAAAATGGTCATTGCTCTTTGTTGGTTGATATATCTATCTATACCTTTAGAAATTCGATTAAATTTCATGATCCTGAAATCACGGAGTCTGTAGTGCTTATATCACAGGAGTTATCGTTATTTGTGTGCCAATGATTCAAAAATCACACAATTAGAAATGCAAGATGAATCAACACTAGATAATCTGAAAAGTACTATTCACAAAGACGCCAAAATTGATATGGTGACTATAATGCATGTAAGGAATAAAATGTCTTATCTGAAATTGTTATTGGTGCCAAAATGATTCAAAAATCACAACTTAAACATTGGAAATGAGCCTATTTTTAGCAGTGATTATTGAATCATCTTACGTTTTTATTGGCTTTCTATCATTTTTCAGGGTACAAAATAGTATTAAATAGTATTAAAACCAGTTAATATGATTCAAAAATCACATTTTCGTTATTGGTGCGCTATTAAGTCTCACTATAGTAAGCCTTAAATTAAGTGCACAATATGACAACATATATCCATTCTATGGTTCTTATTATGTGATTTTTGAATCCATGTCTAAGCTTATACCATATTGAAGGCCTTTGAGCGATAATTTTTGATCTGGGTGGTTAAATGATTCAAAAATCACACAAATCTGGCTACCAACTATGTAATTTTCTTTAAAGTATGACAATTGAATCATATGTAATGTTCAAGTTGTAATGACATTTTGAAAAGAAAGGTAATGAATCGATAATCACTTTCAAAAATTCAATTAAGTATTATACGTAACTGATTGATTCATTTGTCACAGTATGGAGACAAAATTATCATGGCTTGAGTAGTAAAAGTACTTGCCTAGTTTAATCGTTTAAAATCAGTGTTTTGTGATTATTGATTCCACTATTACTCTAATAACGAACTTCTCCATGACCATAAACAAGTGCAGTGTCACAACAAATTACTGCAGATTTACTATGAATACCAACCTGATATAGAGCCAAAAAGTGATGTTGTTGTTGTGAAACCAGTATTTCTGGTACCCATAGGGGATTTGAAATCAACTTATAAATCAAATGTCATTCCTCAAAGTATCATAATCAAACCCCGGGCGAGTCCAAAATTAGAAACCTGAGTATTGATTCATATGAAATATGAATATCTCTTTAACGATAAAATTTCCTGAACCAGATCTGACTCGCTATGTCTGTTCAGACATGTTTGTCTGCCAGATCGTGGTACCTTCATTGCCGTGCATTGAAATCACACAATAACACACAAAGCTAGAATCACGGCAAATCGACATTCATCGCTTTTTCATCGGAGTACTAATGGACAGTGTTCAAATGGACAGTGTACATTCCCCTGATACAGCATCATTTCAATACATGCTCATTTATGTGATTTTTGACTCATTATGGCACTTTTAACCATCTAAATTCTCTAAATATTAGTTAGCATGATATAATTGTGATTGATAGAGTTCATTGTTACAATCATTCCGTTGATATTCATATCACATTCATCATTCTAAAATACTTAGTCAGAATTAACCCTGTATGTGATAATTGCATCGTAACTCCACATTTAACCGGTGATTCTTTGCACTTTTAACACTCAGCTATCTCAAAAAGGTTCAATAATCACATTGAGAAGCAGGACACACTCACAGAATGTAAATTCATCATTAGAGGTGCAAGAAATGAATATTTTGTGATTTCTGGCTCATATCTGCACAATTAACAGATATAAAGAGATGAATGACTTTATTATGTGACATTTGAATATTTTTGGACCACATTAAAATTTGGTTAACTTTCATAGCATACTCCTTGAGATACAAGTATTTTAAAATGCTTCACACAATTTTGGCAGTGAAAATCAATCTCTAGTGCCACCTTTTTATGAACGTGTCCAAGTCAGTACAAGCATAAATACGGCTGTAAAAGCATGTTTCCAAAATTGTATCAAATGTTTCCACCATCTCAACTACTATTTTCATTTTTGTTCATTTTCCATACATTCCATGAACCTGGGTAATGTTATTTGAGTTTTGATGGCTCTTAGGCCTAGTTTTTACCTACATCCATCTTAGAAAACCGAATTGAGGCTTCCCAGCACTTAAATGCAGCCAATACTTCGATGTGCCCATGTTCCAAAAATCTGGATTCTCAGGAGGATTATTGTGCCAAAATTGGGACATTTTGGAACATTGGTAACATCGGTTCTAGACATGCAATGATTCTCAAACTTGGTTTGAGTGGTCCTAGGACTAATATAAACACTTTCCGACCCATTTTAAACCATTCTGAGCACTTTGAGAAGAATGTTCATTTTCGTTCATTTCTGGTCATTCCATGGGTAGTTTTATACGACTTTTTATGGTTCCTAGGCCTAGCTTACGGCTATATCCATCTTAGAAATCCGAACTGAGCCTTCCCAGCACTCAAATACGGCCAATACTGTGATGTGCCTATGTTCCAAATTTATGAATTCATCTACTGCATCTTCTGATGGCGGCTGGCGCGAATTCGATTTTCGGTAATAACCACATCAGTTTTCAAATTTGAGATATTTTTAGCGCGCGGCGCGCGCACTGCGTGTTAAATTTTAAATTTACGCCAGCTAGCAGGTGTCAGATTTACTGGTTATAATTGTGGGAAGTCCATCTATGTTTATTATTAATAATTTTTGGTTGACTATTTATTTTCCCCAGGAAACTTACTCACGTGCGAAAGACGAACTCTAAGAATTGGAGAATAACGGCAGTAGACAGCAGCTAATTTCCCCTGTACTCAACGACATTGAACAATAGACATGAAATGGCTCGCTGACCCCCTACAAAGTACAGGTGCTCGGAGGCAGAATTTGGCATCGTTTGGGTCGAGAGATTTCCAAGGGTAAAAATACCTCTCAAAAACAACCTTCTCCTGGTCGGCCATGTCCCTCATCCTGCACTTGACCCCTGCAGAGGTCACAAGAACATCGGAGCACAAATGAGCGAGAAACGGGGAAGCCTTAGCTTCCGGGTCAAGGACTGCATCACTAGCACCTACCTATTGAACTTATTGATAGGTTTAAAAGTAGGCATCTTCACGCAATCTGCGGACCACCTCCTAGCAGCGAAATACGGATATACCCTCCCTATTACATGCGTTCAACCGGCACCCGAACCACACGCTGTTTCTTAGACACAACTTCTCACTTAAATCAGTGTCCTGTCGCATCAACTGGCATCGGCAAGTGGCGAAACTGTGTAGACTCAACCCTGAGCTTGATCAGAATCTTCAGTCACAAACCTGACACCGTTTCGGGGCTTGCAATACGGGTTTCTGTCAGGCTCCCAGCAGTTTCTTTTGGACCACCATCTCATCTGACAATCACCCGAGGATACCTGCCAGAGCTCGCAATTTACGACGAGTTAGCTTATGGCACCTCTGGCTGTTAAGTGAAGTCATAAAGCTCAAACAGCTCTCATCTCCCATTCTCTCTTCCTAGACAGCAGACCTGGGAGAAACTCCTTCTAGCCGGACGTCACGCGTGATGTACGAGAAACTACGGACAGGTGTGTACCTATACTTTTTAAAATTACACATTTCGTCTGGATTGTGATTCACTGCAAAACAAGTCGCAGGTTCCAATTGTAGAACTATAAAATTTTAATAATTCATGGTTGATTATACGGCCTAAGCGGTATACAAATAAAGCGTTATTATTATTATTGCCTCTAATCCTCAGGGTACTCCTACTTGCGTGCGAAAGACAAAGGCAGCAAGAATCGAAGAACAGAACCCCGACCACACTGCTTGTGAGAAATGAGCAGCTCTTGATCTAGGACAAAAAACTTTCTTCTGTTTAATATCTAAAACGTGTTACGTGTGATATTACACCAACTTTTGATTAATAATACGAAACTTTATACCTTATAAAGTATGATATCTAAACACGAAAATTTACATTCTGAAATTGGTATAGTGTTCCTTTAACTGTTCCTTCAACTTTCATCGTAGCTTTTTTCAAAATATTCTTCAGTGCCATCAACAAACAGATTTTTTCATTTGACTGAACTGTACCATATTTGATATTGCCTCTGTATTTTATAGGGAAAATTTTTTAAATCTTGCAAGTTGATGTAATTAAGTTTTAAGTTAACGTATTATAGATACTAGCAGGAACCCGTATAAATTAACCCTAAACGGTGTCAAGACTCAAAATACTAAAATAATTATTACCTATTTAATCGGCGTTTTTGACACCACTTGGGGGCCCAAATTTTCGGCTCTAAAATCATTATTCCTTGGCCAATTTTTTATTTTTTCATGCCGATTTGAAGGCCATTAAAGCATTTGACCCAGCCAAAAAAGTTCCAGTTGTATATCTTTTACGGTTTTTGCGGAAAGTCGCGTTAAAGTTGATGCCGTGGTGTCAGTAAAATGGCACAGATATATATATATATATATATATCGTCTCGCTTTATATATAGTAAGATGTTAACACTAGTTTATGTTTCAGTATTTAAATTGTTTCCATTTATAGTTCAACCGATCCCTGTTGTAGAGTTATCAGATCTTTACTTAGGATAAACAATATAATATGAAGTTCGATAATAATATTAATAAACATTAATTGTATTCACTGTTTTCTAGTCATCAAACTTCAGATCAGGAGGTGACCGGGACATGATTTTAGGCCTGACCGGGACCGGGACCGGGATACAAAATGTGACTTGACCGGGACCGGGACTGAGATTATCAATTTACCGTGACCGGGACCGGGACCAATAATTTCTGGGATTTCTATCTTACCGGGACCAGGACCGGGACCAACAATACAATTTTTTCGGGATGACCGGGACCAAAACTGGTATTCTCATATTGAAAGCTGCAACTTTCATTTACATTATAATTGAACAATTTGAATAAGTAATAACTAGAATATTAAATTAGAAAAAACTAGAAAAAACCCGTCAATATGGGGCATGGGCCTAATGTACTACACCAATAATGTTCATGTACTGATTACTCAAGTTCACCCTCATTCCTCATATATACCCTGTTTTCACTTAGACAAATTAAATACAAGTGAAGGGTACTAAATATTAAAATGGATAGTTTGAAATTTGTTGCTGTTAACCGGGGTACACAGTAGTGTACAGGCTAAAAAGAGCGTTCACCGGATTGTGTGCGCAATATCTAATTTGTGGAGTGTCCGACACTTTAAAATTGATAAGGAGCGCTGGGGTGAATTCCATCGTACTTTCTCACAAACTCAAAGAAGGCAGGTTTACATGCAATTCTGGTCAAAGTTTGGGCCTTTACTGTCACCAAGATGTAAATCAGATCGAACGAGAAATTAGATCTACTGTCAGTAGTGATACGATATATTATGTGAGAGTAAATCTAAATTGTTTAATTGATAAATTTGAATTTAGTAACTAATGAATTCTTCCCCATTAAACTGTTCTTTTTCTTCTATTTGGCTATACTAACACTAATGAATGGAATTTTCGCCCGAGCCCCAAAAGCAGATAATTTTGGCCACTGTTCATAAACATATTCATAAGAATAACTGCGGTTTAACTGTACACTGTAGAACAAGCTGTAGCTAGACTGGTTTTTTTTTCTCAGGCAAGCATTTTAACCCTGTGTCTTAAAAGGTGACTCTGAATCAGTGTCCGAAAATGCATCGATTCAAGTTGGTTTCAACTGCCGGGGGCTTTATATTACATTTACTGAGCGGCAATCAGCCTGTAATTCTGACAAATCTCTATTCGGTTTATGAAAATTACAGTCCTGTTTATGAACATTATAGCCTTGACATACGTCGCATTTACTATACTGTGAATACAATCAATAATACTGATAGTTTGTCTATGTGACAATTGTGTAGATAAATTTACAACACGCCGAGTTCACATAACAAATAAGCAAGCATTTTCGATCATCAACGCTATGCGCGCTCAATTCACAATGACCACACGCTTAGTAACCATAACAACGCGCAGTAAGCGCTCGATTCAATTCCAGTATATTGCGACGAGTGTTTACATCACTAAATTAGCTGTAACTTTGTGTGATTACCTGCGATCTTGCTAATTTTAAGGCGCTGTGGCTAAAATCATCCACCGAACCAACAGGCAAAATTTCAGAAATATCGCACCCAGCGCCCATTTCGACCTCACGAGTAATCAGCTCGCGGTGGGTAATTGTCCAAGGAACCACTGTACCAAATTTCAATATCAGGGGGTGTGGGGTGGCTGCAGCTGAGCGCGGCCCAGTAAAATTTTTCGGACAGCTTCTTTGTAAGTATGTATTTGCTCTAACCAGAGCCCTCTCGCTTGCAGTAGCGCGCGACCGCCGTGAAACAAGCGCGTCACGCAGTACGCGTAGACACATGGCTATGTGAAAGTATGTATGATGTAAGTAAGCTGACAAATTTTTGTTAAAATTGGATTAAGGGAAGGTTACTCAATACACACTTGTATCTTATCTGGGAACCTCAGGCTATTATGTTCATAAACAGAGATTTGGCGGAATGACAGGCTGAGCGCGGCCCAGTAATTGTATCAAGAATTTTGTGCTGGCCGAAATTCAAAATTAGCGCTAAAAAACCATCCTACGCTACATAGTCGGCACGCGCTGCTCACTGTCGATGGCGCTTTTGTATCACGTTGCGACCCCCACGGTCGTTTCACTTTATCGTCCTGACGATACGAGGGGAGCCGCGCACTTCGTGCGCGGTGGGTCATACAACGTATGACAATGGCGCTCTACTTACATGTTACAGTTTAGCCTCATATTTGGGAAAAACGATCGACAGAACAGTTTTTTAATCATTTTAATGATGTATAATGTATAAAATTGTTTGTATAACTCGACCGAAATTAAATCAACGTTTACTGATTATTTAAATACAGGGACAGTAAAAATTATTTTTATTTAAAAAAAAAACTATTTTCATTTCAAAAATGAAAAATATACTAAAATGTTAAAAAATTACATTATTTTTATTGAGAACAACAATTATTACTGGGCCGCGCTCAGCCTGTCATTCCGCCTAACCTCTATTCGTTTATATGTATTCTATATGTTTATAAACATGATAGCCTGAGGTCCCCAGGTAAAACAATTATTGTTAGCTCTTTTTAGAGGAGAAAAAGGATAAAAGTGGTAATGCAGTTATAATAATAAAAATTTGATTCACGACATGTCAATCCTTCGCATCTCGCCGATCTGCATACGGTGGTTGCGAGAAGCATTATTTGATGCGCGCGCGACCCAGTAGTGCATCGCGCTACAAAATAAAAATATAATCAGATTATAAAAATATCAGATTTCTAAATATAAATTTAGAGCCAACAAATCAAATCGGCTACTTTTATTGACCATTGTTAATGATCTGGCCCGGCGCGCGCTACTTCGTAGCACTTGCTATTTCGAGAAGAAAGCGGCGCGCGCTACTTCGAAGAAATTTAGACGAGTAACATCCGTCAACTACTTTTACTATGTAAAGGATTTAATTTTTTTAAATTAAATACTTTTCAAACTTTACAGAGTACAGCAATTACAACGTATTATGAAATAAACTCGAATAAATTATTGCCCCCGTCTGTAAAATCTGACGGGAGACCAAACACGGTACTGTACAGTAAAACGTGCCCGCAATTATATGGCCCCGATATGATTTTTAAAAGTGTGAAACAAAATTGTGATAAAATAAATGTGTGGCGAAGAATGTGAAACAGTTCAAATTTCTTCAGACGAGGCTGATACACTGTTCTTATCAGAGCTGACAATTTTATTGTTCCTTATGAAATGAACTCTGTTAGGCTCTGCTTTCCTCTTCTCTTTTAATTCCTCCCAGAGATTCTTGTAAGCTCTCCTTTCTTCCACTGATCTGTCTGGGCAAGCTTTCGATACTATAGATCACTCAACATTACTTACCAAACTAGAAAGGTATGGCATCCGTGGCGTGGCAAACGATCTGATCAAGAGCTACCTAACTAATCGATTCCAGTACACTGATGTTGTAGGAGAAAAGTCCGACCTACTTCCAATAAAATTTGGGGTTCCCCAGGGGTCAATTCTCGGACCCCTTTTATTCCTACTTTACATAAATGATATCTCTAATAGCTCTAGCTTGGGATCGTTTGTCACCTTTGCGGATGACACCAACATATTTGTTGTTGGTAAAACTGCACAAGAAGCATATGAACGCAGCAACGCCCTACTTTCAAACCTTCAAACATACATGCGGGCTAACAAGCTTCACATAAACATGTCAAAATGCTGCTACATTCACTTTAGACCTAAGTCACGTACTGAAGCAAACGTTGAAGAAGAATTCATAATGAATATAGACAACTACCCCATCAAAAGAGTAACGTCAGCTAGATTTTTAGGAGTCGTCATTGACGAAAATCTAACATGCGAAGAACATATAATAGCCCTAAAACGAAAGCTTAACCATGCCACCTCAACTCTGTGTCGTCTACGCTGCTCCCTCCCAGAATTTCTCCACAGACAGTTATACTACACTCTTTTTGAATCCCATCTGTCGTACTGCATATCAGCATGGGGTGGGGCAGCTAAAAATCGTATAAGCTCAATATTCACTGCACAGAAGTACTGTCTGAGGGTCTTGTTTGGTGATAGAGCAGCCTACCTGGATAAATTCAAAACGTGTGTTCGAACCAGACCACTTACTGACCAGAAACTTGATAGTAAATTTTATAAAAAGGAGCACACTAAACCTCTGTTTAAAAACAACGAGATACTCACTGTACAAAATCTTTATACTTACCATAGCTACATAGAATTATTCAAGATCATGAAGTTTTCTACTCCTATGTCTATGTACGAAGAGTATTCTCGTTCTTCCAGGAAACCAATGCTTATTATCAATAAACCGGATCCCCCAGACAACCATAACACGAGGTCAACGAAAATATGGAATATAATAACCCCTAACCTTAAAATCTTTGATTGTTCTGTTAGTATTTCTTGCCTGAAAACCAAACTGAAATCTTCACTACTTTCCAACCAGCATTGTCATGCCGTGTATGACTGGACAAATAAAGACTTTGATATATGTAACCTTAAATTTTCGTAGGCTCCTGCAGGGATTCCACCTGACCTCCAAAATTTCATGACCAAATCGACTTACTCTGCCAGCGTATTCCTCTGTCAAGTTAAATGTGATGTGTGAGTGAGTAAGTGTAGTGTAAAGATATCCTATTTTTGTATCCAATTTGAATTCTAATAAAGACCCTAAGCATTATGATCAAAATTTTAGTACAATAGTTATATCAGGGTTGACATCTATGATTAATATTATAACCCAATATTCATTTCTTTTTCTCCCTTAAATTTAAACCCCTCTTAGACATTTAGCCATGATTTAGTATTGAACACCCAAAATACTTACCGTCCTTAATAATCGTAAAGACCATTTGTTACAAAATAGCTGCTAGAATAATGCATGCCAAATATTCCCTCTTACACCCACAAATTATAATGCCTTCCTATCAACGCCTCTAATTTGGTCACTAATCAACCAGACTAGCGTTATGGTGTGTGCGGAAGCTACCAGCCAGTACATTCCTTGCCCCGCTAGTTGATTGTCAAAAAATCATACAGCTCAGAACAAACGGCCATTTACCACTAAGAGCATTATATGTTCTCATTTGTTTAAATTTTATGCTGTAAAATGTGCTAAAACTTTGATTATTTGTTTAATTGATTATTTGTTTAATTGAATGTAGATACTTTTATAGCCCTCTTTTGTGCGTAGTAGTTTCGCTTTTCGCAGCACCTTCGAGTAACCATATCAGAGCTATTTAGAGATAGTTTAGTAGGTGGTATTAATGTGCCGGCTCTCTTCAAACCAACTCTACAACAGTCACGAAATGAAGGTTTCTCGTTTATCTCACCAAGAACTTCAGCAACTTTGTTTTCTAACTTCTCGCCGTCGGATTCACTTATTCCGTAGATTACGACGTTTCTGCTTCTTTCATCCTTTTCAGCTATTGTCTTAACTGCAGTACAGATCTTCTTTGGCGTAAGAGCAGCTGCACAAGTCTTCTTCAGGGCAGAAGAATATGATTTCATCTCTGTCTGCACAGTTGTTTGGACAGACTTGAGTTCTTCGTCCTTCTTTTCAATGAGCTGCTTCTGCAAATCAATGACAGTTTTCTGCTCCGCAATTAATGAAATGTTCTGTTTATCTACTCTCTCCGCAGCCATTTGCAAATGAGGAGCTGCATAACGATTCAAAATGAAGCAAACAGTTTGCAGCCAATCACACAGTTTTTCTTTCGAAACTGATCGCTTGTTCAGGTTTTTCAATACTAGATCTCCGTATTCCTTAACATCCAGTTCATGGCACATTTCATTAAAAACACTGTTTGTAGCTCTCGCTACAGGTGTGCCACGAAAATAGTTCAGGATACAATATAACCTGAAAAAGCAACCCGCATTTATATTCTAAACTAGATAAGGGTAAATAATACCTTGGCTTCGTTTTCGTGCACATTGTCGCCCTCAGCACTCAACAGCCAAGGTATTATTGTATTATAGTTATATGGAATGGAAATCTAGCGTCCGCCAAAACGAAACAACGGACGCAATTCTTGTTTAAATCATAATATCCATTATACCTCAAAAGTCTACTCCATGTGTACGTGATGTACTTTTTATCTTCGCCATGCTTTATCGTGATTGGTTGATACTGAATTGTTTCCCGTGAATATGTAAGATTCAGCGGAATTAGAGAAACAATGTTATTGAAAGGGGTTGTAGCCATTTCGAAATATTGAATGAAGCTATATTTTAAATCTTTTCAGAGTTTTGTTGAATGCATAATTTTTATCATTCTATATAATCACTTAACTTTTTAACTGAAGTGTGTATTAAACACTAAACAAGCCCCAATAGAAGTTTAAATAGTAAGATGATGTTATACTGTTATATTAGTCTCATAGCAAACTTTTTAAAAAAGATTTTCATTGATTTGGGGAAGCTGTGTGTTGTAGCTTGTGATTCTAGCTTTCTAGACAAATGTACACGTACCTATGCGGGAGTCAGCCAATATTATTATTGGGCGCATCACAACCCAGATCTGGATAAAATGACCTGATGTGTGAGTTGTAATGGCCTACACACACATTTCACTCTTTCCGGGAAGTAAAATTTTAGTTAGGTTATCACATTGCCCCTGCTTCTCTCAAAATTCCTTGGATTTAAAAAAACTCAGAGGCAGTCCAGTTTTAGTTCCAAATAAAATGAATTGTTGTGCCCACAAGTAGGGGCTATTGAGTTATTAACAACAATTTTTTCCATTTAACCCTTTTTTAAAAAGGCAATAGTGAAAGGTTACGAATGGAGGTTTTTGCAGAAAAACGTGGATTTTGGAGAACAAGATAGGTGGGTTTAAATATGTCGTGTGTCCTTCCTTCCTTCCTTACGTCCGTTACCATGCAACGAAAAAGTTGCGCGCGCGCTCGAGGATTGTTTGCGGAGATGTGATGTATAGATAGCCTGTGATCTATGTATACGAATACAATGTAGGGGGGGGGGGGGTACCACTGTCCATTTTATCCCTGCACAAAAAAAACTGAAAAAAGACAAAGACAAAAGGGACAAAAGGGACAAGAGGGACAAAAGGGACAAAAAAAGATAATAGGGACAAAAAAGACAAAAAAGACGGGGACAAAAAGGACAAAATGGACAAAAAGGACAGGGACAAACGAGACAAATAGACAGGGACAAAATGGACAGTAAAGAAAATAAGGTCAATTATCCGTTGAAATGCAAAAATAAGTTCAGGCACAGTTCCAACAAGCTAATAAGTTGGGTAAATTCAGACAGAACAGTAAAGTCAATCTTGGTTATATATCAGCCTTAGTGTACTCACTGTTCAAGACAACTTGGTCTAGTCCGATATGCCTGCTCACTGATTCACATTTGACATATGAGCTGAACTTGATGATGACTTTTTTGATATCACCACTTGATTAATGGGATTAATGAAATATTGACTGAACCGTGTACACATTTATTTATGTGATGCCGTCGATGAATTCTGCTTATTTCAGTCCCTTCAGTGGTTTCAGTTGATTCTAAGTACAGCAAAACACTGACATGAAAATCTAAATTGTTGATGTCGAGTAGAATATAATATACATTCTCTACATTTGAGCTTGTCTAATTTTTTGTCTCATTTGTCCAAAATTTTTGTCCCTTTTGTCCCTTTTGTCCCTAGTATTGTCCATTTTGTCCCCAAAACACTGTCCTTCACAAAAAAATGTAAAAAAAGACAAAGACAAAATGGACAAAATGGACAGTGGTACCCCCCCAATGTAATGTTGCTCTAAGTCTAACCAGAGCCCTCTCGTCACGCAGTACGCGTATACACATTGCTATGTGAAGATGTAATGTATAATATGTAATATTAGGTTATGAGCCCAATCTGTACGTGGCACGCGTAGTGTATTGATGTGTACACGAGTATAGTTTACCTTTGGCTTTGCTTACATTTACAATTTCTTGAATTACAGATACAAGTTAAGTTCTACAGCTTAATTGAATTGAATTTCAAGTGTTTCCCGTATTTAATGCATAATTTGTCAATTGAAATATTATTATCATGAAGATTGAAGTGAGCTGATTGGAGCTTATAGTTAAATTTAAAGTAAATGTGGAATGGAAATCTAGCGTCCGCCAAAACGAAACAACGGGCGCAATTCTTGTTATTATTATTATGATAATCTAAATTTCATAAACGTTTAGGATTGTATGACTCAGCCTACATCTAAAGTGGCCCTTGAAGTTAATCTTGATGACGACAATGATTCTATGGGACAGCAAACAAACATTGAACCACTTCAATCGCTGTCTTTAGCTGGGAGTAACGAGATGGGTGAGATGGCCTCTTTTGTCTATAAGGAGCCTAATAGCTCTCAGAGTGTAAGTTTTGAGAGGGATTTTTATTTTACTTTTTGTTTTATCCACTTTGTTGTTTTATAACCTTATTCAATATTCAGTTCAGTTTGGATATATAATTCCCTTTCAATACAAGGTTTAATTGAAATTTATAAACTCTTTTACATCATGTACACAAATAAAATGTATTTATAAATGAAGATTATATATCTTGAACAGAATTGATTATTAAACACCCCTTTATTTTCAGCTTTTGGATACCTTGTCAGATTTTAAAGAAAAGGATTTGCTCTGCGATGTGGTTGTGGTGACAGGAACAACAAAGTTTTCCTGTCATAAGGTAAGTCAGCTATTAATTTTATTAAATCTTAGATGTTTTTATTTCCAACAACTGCCAGTCTGATGATTATTGTGATGAGATGTTGCTGTGATCTTATTTGTTTTTTAGGTAATACTAGCAGCCAGGTCTCGGTACTTCAACAGCATGTTTCTTTCTGGCATGACTGAGTGCAATCAAGAAGAAATCGAAATAAAAGGTATGAAAACCCGTAAAAATTGATTTCGAAATTTGCATGCTCAAATTGTTACATGAATGATCTTTTGTAGAATATGATTTGAAACAAAACTGTAGCCCTCAGATTTCAAAAAGAATTTCCAGTCAGATATTAATTGTTTGTTTATGACAACAGCTGATTATAAATCATGTTTAAAAGAACGCTCACCTGATATTGACAAAGTGTCTGCGGTACTATCGCAATGTCACAACTTGATTCCACACTAGGAGTAAGCCCAGAGATAATGTCGATACTGATAGACTACACATACACGGGCCAGGTCACTATAGATGTGTACAACGTCCAGGAACTGGTGTTGGCAGCTGATCGCTTGTCTTTTATCAGTATGAGGTATGATTACATCAACTCTCCTTATTTAAATATTCACTTTTCAGGTTAAGTTGTTTAATTGTTATACCGTTGTTTAATTGTTATACCGTAGGTATTTCTTGATCAACCACATATCATGTAGGAAATAAATTACTAAACAAAATAAAACCAGGTTTTGACAGGTACAAGCAAAAAATAACATTTTACATATTTGTTTACGAAATCTTTCTTTGAGTAAGGAGCGAATAAAATCAATCAGGGTAAAATTTTATTGGTATCTGAAGCATGGTTACTGGTAAGCACCCAGACCTACGAGAACGTTTTGCTCACAAATTACAGAATCTGTTAATTGTCTGCTAGAAACTTAAAGGGGGACACAAGCTTTTAAAATAATTCCATCATCAAAAGCACAGCTCACCACAGCCAGGCCCCTGACATTTTTCTTGCACTCACAGATTCTGGGACATTCTTTTTCCTTACTATCTGGAGAATATCTAACGTTAATCATCTCTCCTATTTTGGCGTATCCTATGAGCCCATCCCAATTCTCGTATGAGCATTTGTCTGGACATCCAATTTTTTTGCACAGACTCATCAATTCACCCTTATGATTAGCCTTACATATGCACTTCCTCCCGGATAAACACGTGTTGTAGCGCCAGTTCCACTCGTCGGATCAACATACAAACAGCATGGCTTTTCTTTGCAGTCCCACTCACCGTCAAGTCCACATGAACAGTCTGAGCAATATTCTTTTAGCATGTCACCTACTTGGTACGCTGTGTCACGTAATAGCATACGGCACCAGGGGAGTCACCGGGGGAGTCACCACCGTCACCGGGGGTGTCACCACCGTCACCGGGGGTGTCACCACTGTCATCTCCAGCCAGGACCAGAGGAAGGAGAAACAGCAGTTTAACTATCATCATTCTGTGGTAGTTAATGTGAACAAATGAAGGTTGAAACGGTAAAAGTTACTAATCAAAAAGAAAATTTTAAAGCTGTGAGCAGGTGTAAACTTAACGATGATTATTCACAAAACTAATTTTTTTAAAATGTCACTTGTGATTGCAAAAACCGGAGGTTTCAACAACAATTATTAAGTCTTCAGATCAGAATTCAGATCAATCTATTTCAAAAGAATATAAATAAAGATTAAACTGGCTTAGTGGCGCAGTTCGTTAGTCGACCTGCCTTACTCGTGATATGCTGCTCAATCACGAGGTTGCAGGTTCGATCCCCGCCTGTGCCACTAGCCATAGGGTGAGCGGCGTTGCCGTTCTGCTAAGGGTTCCGATGGACCTATGCAGCCCCCCGGTCTACTCAGCCGAATGCTTGAGAAATCGTGTGTGAGGGTTAAATGAGGAGCTGTACATGATCTATACAGCGGAGCCACGGGCGAAGAAAGTGTGGCATAATACCTTAACCGTCGCTGGCCTTAGTTATCGATCCTTCGGGTTCCTGTAAGTGCTGGTGTCAGCCATGGTTGTCCGAAGTAAAAAAAAAGGTGGTTTTCATAGATGACCCTGCTGCCTTGCAACTAAACAACGTAAAGTAAAGTAAAGTAAGTAAACTGCAGATTAAGATTTAAAGGAAATAGCATATATTTTCTAGACGTTTTTCACTAAATTGTTGCCAACAAACGAGCAAATATACACAAACACAATTAACACAGGGTAAGAGCACACATCAAAGATGTTGGCAGTTGGTGCCATTCAAATTATCTAACCGCTGATAAATACAGGGTGTTTCGAGACTCGTGTCCAAATTTTGAATGGCTCTCAAAATCTAAAAAATGAGACAAACGGTCTAATTTTTGTTTTAAATTGTAGACAAATTATTACATTTTAAAATACATAACAAAAATAAATCTAATATTTCAACAATTTTTCGAACCAAGCCCCCTTTCTGCATAGAAGGTTTTGAACCCTCGGAAGCATATTGTCTATTGCACGTTTTACCATGTCAATTTTTAACTTTTTAGCCTCCCTTCTGATATTGTTTTTTAGCTCATCTACTGTTTGTGGGACTGGGTCTGAATAGACACGTTCTTTCAGATAGCCCCACAAAAAGAAATCGGCCGGATTCAGGTCAGGGCTGTAGGGAGGCCAGCTGAACTCAGCTTTCCTCGATATCAGTCTTTCCCCAAAATGCTCCTTCAGCCAAGCCATACTTTCGTGCGAACAGTGTGGAGGGGCCCCGTCTTGTTGGAATATACAGGAATCAAGTATTTTTTCCTTTTAAGTACTGGGATAACTTTTCCACGCAACATAGCAATGTAATTTGCTGTCCTTATCGTCTCTGCCTTCTCTTCTTCATTCTCGAAAAAGTGGGGTCCGAAGACACCATGGTAACTGAGGCCCATCCAAACAGTCACCTTTTCTCTGGTTTTTGGACCTTCCACGGTGGCATAGGGTTGCTTATCTGACCAGATTCGGGCATTCTGAGTATTAACCCACCCTGATAGTTGGAAGTGAGCTTCATCGGAGACAATAAGGTTCTTCAAAAAGTTTTGATCAGACTCAATTTTGCTAGCAAATTGCTTGGCAAAGTCCACTCTTTGCTGCTTGTTGGCTGCCGTCTGTTCTTGCAACATCTGAATTTTGTATGGGTATTTGCCCAACTCCTTTCTCAAGATCCTCCAAACGGTTGTGGTAGATAGCTTAGTTCTCTTAGCGATGTTCCTTACAGAACGTCGAGGGCTTTTGTCAAGGATTTGGTCGACTTTTTTGATGTTTTTCTCATTAACTGCCGTTTTTGCACCCCCACCTGTTGGTTTCCTTCTGAGAGTCAATTCTCTCTCAAATTTCGTCACTTGTCGCTGAATAGTCCTAAGATGAATTTTCCTGCCTGCATTACCGTATTTCTTTGAAAGTGCCCTCCTAGCAGCAGTCCAACTACTTCCGTTGACATAGAAAAGCTTGACCATGTCTACTCTCATTTCGTCTGATATACCAGATTTTGACATTTTTTCGAAGAAAATTTCGAAAGGATACAAATTTGCAAAAAGATGAGTTTTGAAACGAATATGTGAGAGATAACTAAAATGTAAGGTATAACCAGCATTTTAAAACCGATTGCATCTAATTTTGCTCCTTCATAAAATTAAAAATTAAAATTTTAAATTTGGACACGAGTCTCGAAACACCCTGTATAGAGCAGTTTTCAGCAGGTGAGCATAACGAGCAGGAAGTTTTAGCTGTGGTGCAGGTTGTTTTACGATGTTCGCGTACAAGGGAAACACGATATATAACTATGAGGTATAACTCTTGGAAGTAATATAAAGATTATGATAGTAACATAGAAGATAACAGAACTGCTCGAACATGACCTCTTAAATATTTATAAAACGGCACTTATATATAATGGAATGACACGTGACGAGTGATTCATGACCATGAGACATGAAACTACTATCTAAATGGTTGTAAAGTCGTGGTGAAGTGAACACGTGACAATTACGAGTGATAAGTGTTATGAATCTCCAAGGTGGAATGAAATGTGCTGACTTTGTGCATGTGAAGTGAATTGATGCTGAAATTGGTTTGTCAGTGCTTGTTATTTGATGTGAGAATAATGTGCAGTGGAGCATGATGTGATGTGATTTGTGACTATGAATACCTAAAAACCATCTGAAATTTTTCAACACTACTATATAACAAATAATTTGAGGTATGACCAAAGTACTACGAATGTAATACGAATGTAATGTTAATGGAATGGAACAAATCTCACATGTGAACTCTTCAATTTGCTTCAATTCAAATCAACAACTTAATTCAAATCATCAACTCAATATCATGGACGATTCAATGGAAACATTTTTTGGAAAACTATTGTCGGAATGTGATCAAAAATGCAAAAACTGTACTGCACTCAAATCTCATGTCAAGTTTCTCGAGCGGAAAGTGATCATCCTAGAAGACATTGTTCAAACTTCTCAGACTATAGCAGAGATTAATGGTACGTTGTTACATCAAAGTACCAATCAGTCAATAGATTATCGGGCTGTCCTGGATAGGTGTTCAGATGTTGCAGTTCAGACAGAATTTGAAAACGATCATATTGAATATGACAGTGAATGCGAGGTGCCTGAATCTTTCATGCTAATCAATAGTGATGGCATCATTGAAGCACCAGATTCTATCATTTCCAACAACACAGAAAATCAAATCAATGGGAGTACAGGATCTGTCAATCCATGGAGTGGCAAGTATTATGCTGAAATAGATGTAACACCCATATCTAGTGTGGC